TTTCTGATTATAATTATACGTTTCAAATTTCATATCTATATAGGGATATTTGTTGGTGTGACATGAGCTGAAATAATTAGAAATATTTGGCCAGATTGTAATTTCGTGTCACGATTGATCTGTGGGGTAAAAAAGCATATATTGTAAGTGGGAACAACGAAAAGATACACGTGCATCATCAATAAGATAAGCATGTGTATCTTTTCTTCTAAAAGTGAAAAAAGGGCAAAACAATTCGGCCAAGGAAGTACCGAAATCAATTATTTAAAAGTTTGAGCGCCATTCTGTGGGGTAAAAAAGCATGTATTGTAAGTGGGAACAACGAAAAGATACACGTGCATCTTCAATAAGATAAGCATGTGTATCTTTTCTTCTAAAAGTGAAAAAAGGGCAAAACAATTCGGCCAAGGAAGTACCGAAATCAATTATTTAAAAGTTTGAGCGCCATTCGTCATTTGATTTGTTTACACTACTCAATTATTCCAATGGTCGGACGTTAACTAATCTAAGGACCTCAGGTGATTAATATACCAAATCTCATTTTGATACACCTAGTAGTCTAGAAGTTATGACTTGTCTAATAGACTCATTGACACCCGGTATATGGTATATTTTTGTAGATTCCTGCTATCTTATGTATATATTCAGTCTCTTGTAGGTATAAACTATGACAAACGATACTAGCTAAAGCACCCTAACTGTAACACTTTATCACTAATTATTACTAAATATCAAATACTTCACATATTTCGTTACCTCCGCGCCATCTAGCCACTAGTGTTGAAAGGAAATGCAGCAGCATGTGAAATCGATTCGAACTGAAAGGGAAACAGGGAGCGTCAGGACGCTACATACTTGACATTTCACTTCCTGATTGTAGATGGCAACCGTAGTACTTTCTATTCACAAACCAATGAATATTCCACTTTCAGAAAGCAATATTTAAAGAGAACTTATTTTTATAAAAAATATTGATGTCAACAACGATTAGGAGGCGGATATTATTGACTCAATTATTTCTGAAATCAAAAACAAGTTGCCAAACCGGAAGAACTTTCTCCAAAAGAATAAAAGAGCATAGAAATCGTTTTTTAAACAGGAAGACCAATTCAACATTTGCGAATCATCTTTTGGCAGAGGGACGCGAGTTCAATCACGATTTGGAATTTGTCCTCACATTCGAAAAACTACTCCTAACTTCTTTATTTCTATCAGACACTGAAGTTTAATTTTCATTGTATTTTCAAGGACTAAATACAAGCACTAAGGAAAACCCTTAAGGCGGTCTGAGAGCGGTGCCTGTGCGAAAGTAGCGATTCGTTGGATTTGAATCGCTCGAGATGAAACTCAATTGGAAAAACGATCTCACGAAGTTTTTTTTTCACAAAAACGCAGTTCTAATGTGTGTGGTTTAAATTTTTTGGCTTTGGGAGAACCAATTAGCCAGACTGTTTTAATAAAAAACTATTTGAAAGTAACATTGAATAGTAGCTCAAACATAGATTTTTTTTCCCATCGTTTTTTGCTTTTGAATTTTCATTTCTGTTTGTTTTTGTATTTATTTTTTCTTTTCTTTTTTTTTGTATTTTTTCTTTTTAAATAAGTGTTTTTTCTTGATTTGTTTTATATTTTTGTTGTCCTTATTTTTTTTGTCAATATTTTTTTCCTTCTTTTTATTATTTTATACAGATTTTCTTTAAATTTTTTCAATGCGTTTGTACATAATATGATTCAATTTCTGTTTACATTTGAATATATTGTTAGTAGTACTATAACTATATTTACAGTTCTAAAAATGAAAGAGTTCTTAAACAGTAGAATTCGCGGTGTACTGAGTTGAACCTCAGAACGAAGAGCAGCCACAGTCCGTCACATAATTCCGATATATACTACTTTTGTTGATAAACTGTGACTGAGTACTTTCTGGGTAACTTCCGAAGAAAGAAAGTAATCAACAACATCCTTAAAAACTTAAAGACAAAATCCACTTAAAGAATACATGAACAAAATAGGGCTGTATAACTCAACCCTTAGCTGCAGGTAGTTCAATGAAGGGGCGAATAAAACAAGCCCGTGAAGCTGTAGACAAACACCATTATTATTACTTACCGTGATGAACAAGAATGAATCAGAATTTATGCCATCTTAATCCAATGGAATTCGAAAAACAAACAAGCATCATCAGTTGAGGACCGGATTATAATAGTCAAAAAAACGTTGTTGAAAAAAAACAGAATTCTACTCTCTTTTCTAAATAATATTTCACCGAACTTCTCTGAAAATTCGATGTTAGTGTTAGGAAAATGTATACCATTTCTACAAACGTTATTTTTTTGCCATGATATTTTTTCAGTTTTTGATTAAAAAAGCATTGTCATGTATTCATTGAGCATTATCCAATCTCTGCCTACGGAGCCGGCAGAAATGAAACCTGAAAGATAACAAATGAAAGAATTCTCAACCAAAGCCGATTTGAACAGCAAGCTTTCCAATTAGTGTGCAGTAACTTCCATATTTTATTAAAGGATCACGAATAAATGAGAGTATTATTATGATTATTCTTTCTGCAAATTTTAATGAACGGCCTCTGGGTCAGGATCTCTCAGGAAATTATAACGAGGAAAACATTTCGATGCCAAATTGGATTTTATAACATTCGTTATGTAAATGAACCCAATTAAAATTTTTGCGTATGTAAAATTGGCATTCACTATATAGGAAGAGAAACCAAAAATTGGACTGCAAACGTTGCACACCTTGGAAGGAAAGTAATTTTGCTCCCGTTCATTTGAAGTATGTTGAAAAGAAGCTTGGAATTATCTAAAATTCTTTTGAGAGACTTGCATCCCACTACACCATTTATTACAAAACCGAAATATAAATCCAGTCTATTCAGCTTGAGTTTGAGCATTCAACACTGTAAGAGACTAAGCAAAATATAGCATATTCCATTTTCACCAGCCACGGTTTGTTGACTCGGTAAAACGTAGGAAAATAAAAAAACTCTTGGTTTGGCTCTATACCATTGAATTATCTCTTTCATTAAAAAATTACCGAATGAGCTTTTATGTAATGTAACTCATAAATTCAAATTTGAAAGCATTCTTATCCTTTTTAGTTTCAGTGTGAGCAGAGAATACTTACAATGTTGAGACTATATTAAAAATTCCGGCAAGAAATTATGTTAATTGAAAGTACTGTATTTCTAATTGAAAAATAATAACAGATCTTAGAAAAAAGAAATAATCTGCTTTGAAATCACAGCCGATGTGAATTTTTTCAGACGTCACAGCTTATTGAGACTAACAACTTATTTTTTCGTAAATTAGTCGTGGTGTAATTGTAGATTGTAGATTTTAACATATTCTAGGCAGGCAATGTCAAATAATAAAAATATACTTTGTCACTGTTAGTGAATCCGAAGTCGAGAGACAATACAGGGCCCCGAATATTAACTTCACATATGGAATTGAAAACAACGATAAGTTACCATTTTTGGATGTCTCAGTGATAATCGAAGTAACCAGGGTCTAGAATTTGATGTATTCAGAAAGAATTCCAGTTTTTTTGTTTTTTTTTCTGATAGCTCACACCATTGTCCACAATACATGATGATAGGTCCCAACTTTCTTGCTCATAGGATTGTTACGTTCCCTTTGAGTAAAGAAAGATGCAGTATTGAGAAAAATGTTATCAGGTTCATAGTTGAAAGTAACGGGTATTTTTCAAATACTGTAGATGAGTTAATGAGGAAACAGAAATTCAGAAAGAATCTCCGTATATCTTCAACTTTTCAAAAAGACTTTGATAAAAATATCATTGTCCTTCCATATGAATCAAGTTACTCTAACGCAGGGGTCTCCAAACTTTGAAGCCTTCGGGCGATAATGATTTTTTCAGTTTGTTCCAAGGGCCAATTTCTGCCCTTAACTATATTTCTATACTAGGAAAGTCGCAAAGTGCGTGACCTAAGCAAACTTACGCTTTTTTTGCATTTCAATTATTATTGTGTATTGTGACACTTAACGACATCTAGTGGCGAGTAGTGGTATTATGTCCTATCTTTTTCAGCTACCCGCTAGGTGGCATTGGACGTAATTGAATATTTGGAATTACCGCGTTGGTTCGAGAAAGTTCTGGTTCTAGCTAGTGTATTCCGATCACCTTGAGATGGCAGTAATAATTGCATAGAAAAAGGCTAGCGACACAAGTGCGAGTTAGTCTGCGTAGGAAAGGCGAAGGAAGCGAAACTGTCTATTGTGAAATAAAGTAACACCCGTCAATAAAAGTATTTTGATTTGACTTATTGTTTTTATGTGTGATTTGTTAGTATGGAAAAGAAGCGAAAAATCGACAGCGAATGCAGAACGTTCCAAGAAAAATGGAACTTTCAGTATTTTGTGATTGAATCCAGTAATAAGGCGTTATGTTTAATTTTTAATGAAACCATAGCTGTTCTCAAAGACTATAACATTAAACGACACTATGAATTGAAACATCTTCAAAGTTACTCCAAGTATATAGGAAGTTTGCGGAAGGAAAAATTTGAAGCTTTGAAACGCGGACTCAAATCGCAGCAATCTTTGTTTACCAAAGCGAATACTGAACAAGAGTCTGCAACTCGCGCCAGCTTTCGTGTGGCTCTTGAAATCGGAAAGCTTTTTCAAAATCCTTTTGATTCTGACATTGAAACCCTGGCTCCGGAAGTCCAAATGGAAATTATTGATTTACGGTGCAGTGATATGCTTCTTCAACTTATCACAGCAATAGTAACAACAATTAAGTAATCATTGGCTGTCGCGGGCCAGATTGATGACAGTAAATCATTGGCTGTCGCGGGCCGGATTGATGACACTGGCGGGCCGGATTTGGCCCGCGGGCCGTAGTTTGGAGACCCCTGCTCTAACGGATTAGATCGCATTTTAAGTCTTCCTGATGTCATGTAATATGAGCTTCTAAATAAAATATTATATGTTATTGAGTAAGTGAAGAAGGCAAACCTTGTATTATTGTTGTTTGATGGCATTGGCGTTGGTATTCTTGGAGGAGCCACAGGAATAGGGGTTCCTCTCCTCCTGACTGGCTGATTGCTCGATTTCTGAACGTCAGAATTCATCTGGAAAATAAAAATGAATGATATACGTAAAACAGAGTAGTATTTACATGATAGTGAAAAACTAAGGCAAAACAGTTGACGTCTGAATATCATTATCTTGATTCAATTATAGCTTATAAAGTAAAAGTGGAACCACTGGCATATAATAAGTATGAAACAAGGACTTTTCCCAACCACCAGAAATGAAATACTTTTTTCATTGCAATTGTGGTGATTGGGAAAAGTGCTGGTTTTAGATTTACACTCAGAGATGGCTATATAAACGTGAGTGGAAGTCCGAAGTTTCTAAGGTTTGAAGTCAATTATGATACACAAGTATTGAAAAAAATCAAAACATAATTATGAATTTCAACCTCAATTCTTGTTTTTTCAATTGAGGTTTCACAATACTGAAAGTAAATTCAATTGATGATTTAAAGATCCAAAATATTTGGATTAAATTTCCAAAAAATATATGTTACATTGATGAATGTTCCTTTTATCTGAGTGATGTGTTGAAACACAGTATCGGAGTTTCTCTTATATTTTTGAACATCCATTTCATACTATATCACAAAAAGATTTATGTTTGGTCGGATGTATTTCATTATTCATGTTTGGGAATTTGAATCTATAGTGACATGTTAGAAACAGTAATAAATCAACTGATTTGTGAGATAGAGTGCATGAAACAACAATCTAGCATTATTAATGGTTGTCCTCAACTATTATCGAAGTGGCGTTCATTTTATGTATAACTAATTATGAGGTATAACTTGAAATCGTCTATTGACAAACTCTGAAAGGAGATCAAGTCCAGTCCAGTAGCTTTCTACGGTATATTCTGAGAAGTCTTTGAGGTGGAGAAAACTAATATTTGGGCCATATATCTAAATGCTGTTTCCTCAACGTCAGCAATTCAGGTTTTCCAGAATTCTTCAATCTGTAGCGATTTTTTCAGTCTATATATTTGAAACAAAAAAGTGATCATGAAAATAAAGAACTAAGGTTTCAGCATCGAGAATTATCAATACGAAAATTGCAACTGAAATCTGAAAATAAGCCAAACAACTTATGAAAATATAGTTTTGCTGTAACTTCCATTGCTCAGAAAGAACATATGTAGAGCAGATAAATTTGGTTTCGATTTTTCAAAAAATAATTAAACAAAAACATATTAGTTAACTGTTGACAGAAGTATCCTTGTTAGTTGCGTATCGCACATCAAAAATTCACTCTGTATGGTTAATTCATCTCACATAGTCTTTTGTGAAACGTAAACTCCATTTCGTCATGTCCAATAAATATTCATTTGCTAAATACATATTCACGTGAAGTGCCTTTTAGATCTACCGAAAAGATTAAGTCATTTGTAACTAATACATATTTCATTGCGCAACAATTGGTATTAGTTCCGTGTCTTAGTTTAACTATAATTTTACAAAAAGTGAATTGATTTTACTGTTTCCAAAGTTTACGAAGAACAAATGAAGAATTATAATTATTTTATTATCATTATTATTATTCGTTGATTGACTTCAGAAGTCTAAAAAAATTGAACTTTTTGGTCCTACCTTTTTGACTAATGACTGTAAGTTTTCTAACAGTCAGTCAGTGCCAGAAATATACTACTCAGATTATTGATTATTTGAATTTTTTTAATTCCATGGTTAGTTGTTTTCGAATATGTAGTGTGCAAGAATAATTTCCTTACTTCAATTGAAAATCTCAAAATTCTCATTTAGTTCAAGTTGAAAACTCCACTATCTAATAAAACACATTGAAAGGTTCTCACGATTTGTTTTAAAATTAAAACCGACTGTCAAGTGCTGATAAGATTTAAGAGCTTGAAACATCTGTACACAGGCCAGAGATTTGTTGCTTTGATTCCTATCCTCTTACGTTACAAGTCCCGTGCTTTTTTTTCAAAGTAACAGACAATAAATTAGTATGCTAACGAGTGAAACACATTCCAGTAATAATTTTCCCACTTACAGAATTATTCATCCGTGAAGACATCTAATCATATTTTGCGTTTGCGAGGCTCTCACTCATCATCTTCCCAACACTTTGAAGTGGTGTATGTATGTGGATATTCATCAAAAAGGAAAAGAAGAGCGGAAATTGAAATAACGAACGCGATGCAACTTCTTTGACATATAAAAACGAGAAACTTCACCAAAGTTCTGCATAATGAGAATGACACTAGAAAGATATCCGCAATTTCGAAAAGAATGGACTTTAAACTTCACATTTTTTAAATTTTTACTCTGAAGGAAATAGAACCGATGTTCCAGGATTTATTGATAATGATGAAATGAAATGTTATCAATAAATAATGCTGAATAATGTTGAACTGAACTACGTACTTAATCAATTTGTTCTCAAATGACAGAAATGTGCATGTATACAGGCTGATTCACGGTGGATGGCACATTAGACGTTTCTGGTGAACCAGACAACGGATCACTTTGAAAATTTAATGGAGGAAATACTCAGACATTCTCTAGCCAACTAAAATATTTTCGACAATACGGTGTTGCCGCTTCTATTAGAAAGCAGTAGCAACTTTGATTTTTCAAATGGAACACTCTGTATATAATATTATTTTTGGAATCTCCAACAATTGCCCGACAACTTTTCTTGATATTTCCCTATACCTATCTGTTACCGTTTTCGAAATAAAAATTAATTTCAATTTTTTTCTTCGAAAATCATGACTTCTAAAAATGCCGATATCTTTTAGTTAAGAAGTACTATGATATCGAAATTTGGTTTGGA